CGCTACCCTAGCGGTTGGATTATCCGTAATGGCATACAAAAGCGGATACGCGTCCAGAAGCACGTCCGTACCCAACCACCGACCTGACTAGAAGCATGCTAAGTTGCCATTATGGACGTGATAGGTTGTCCCTAACCGGATGAGTGGTTGAACCTTTTTAATATCCCTCGCAAACTGCGATAGTTTGACATTCCTTCGGAATTCAAAGCGCCCCAAAGTTAGATATTTTCTTAAAAATATATCTAGCCATAAGCCCCATTGGCCTTTAAGGATCTTCCATGCCCACTTAGTCATTAGGCACCAATTCATAATCTTAGCATTGATTACCCCCAAGCCTCCCACGTCCTTAGGCCGGCAAATGTCCTCCCAACTTATCATATGGTACTTTTGTTTTTGGTGCTCTTTTGCCCAAAAGAAGCGAGACTTCACCCTATTCAGCTTATCATCCACCCCATCTTGGAGAAGGTAAAAGCCCATAACATACATAGGAATATTTGTTAGGCAATCATTTACTAGGACCAGCCTCCCTCCTGATGCCAGTAGTTTTCCCCTACCATGGCTCCACCCTCAACGTCGTCTTATCAACTACCGACTGGAAATCTGCCATTTGAAGTGCCCTTGTTGATATTGGCATGCATAAATATTTCAGAGGACTTGATCCCAACTCACAATTCATCATATGTGCTGCCCTCAGTTGGGATTCCAAATCCCCTCCCGTGAGAAAATCCACACTCTTATCAAAATTGATTTTTAGGCCAGACATATCCTCGAAACACATAAGTAGGAACTTTAGATTAATAATCTCCCTCTCGGAATTCTTAATGAGAATAAGAGTATCGTCCGCATACTGCAAATGAGATATTCCATCCAGGAATAATATTGGATGCTACCCCGGATATGTGTCCCGCGGCCTTGGCACGGTCAAGGATGCCAGCCAATGCATCAGCGATTATATTAAACAACAGGGGGTAGATTGGGTCGCCTTGATGAACTCCACGTTTATTCCTGAAGTAGGAGCCAATCTGGCCATTGACGTTAACCGTCGTCTGGCCCCCTCTCACGAGCTGGCTCATCCAACTGATCCATAATGGGTCAAATCCCTTCTCTCGGAGAACCTCCTCAAGAAACTCCCACCTCACCCTACCATATGCTTTCTCAAAATCAATCTTAAGGATAAACACCTCTTCTTTTGATGTCATAATCTCATGTAACACTTCATGGAGCACTGCCACACCGTCTAAGATGTTTCGACCGCGAATAAAGGCAGATTGGGATTGGTCAATCACCTTGTTTGCGACCGGAGCGAGCCGTGACGCAAACCCTTTTGCCAATAGCCTGAATCTCACATTAATGAGCATGAGAGGGCGGTACTGTCTAATATTGTTCGCACCCTGGACCTTAGGGATAAGAGCTAGCACCCCATAGTTTAACCGCTTCACGTCAATCCTTCCCAAAGTGAATTCATGCACTAGGCTTACATATTGGGGCCTCACCAGGCTCCAAAATCTCTTATAAAATGCCACCATGAAGCCATCTGGGCCGGGGCCCGTGTTCGTCCTCATAGCTTTGAAAAAATTACATACTCGTGTCACCCTTAAGGATCCATCGTTGTTGCCCTCTCTGTTGCCAGTACATATCCTCACAGTTAGGAGGAAAACCATTTCATCCTCGACGGCATATCTTCTCGCCCATTCTTCATTGGATAGTCCCATCGTATCAGCTTTGGCATCAAAGTCTCTAATTTCTCCCATCAAGGACTCCTTCCGAACCCTCGATCGGCTACCCACATTAGCCCCCCACCCTCTAAGGTGGTGCCGCGATCTGTGGATACAATGTTGCCATTCATCTAATGTGTCACAAAGGGGCCTGTAACGGTGCGGCCTGTTTACCCTTGCACCTCCCATATATGCGAACATACACCTCAACTCTAACGGTGTTTTTTCTTTTCTTTTTCAAAGAGGAAACATAGTGCAAATACGAACATTCACTGAACCCTATAAACACATATCACTCTTATAAGCACCTTTGAGATACTCAGCCGGCGCAACATCTTGAAATTGACAAAGCGTCATAAATGCCTTCGTAGCCGACGTAGACGTCTCCTTTCATTGAAAGCACATCGCCGAGTAAATAAATCCAGAAAAATGCGCCCATCAATGTCAGGTCTAAGATTTGAAACTTGATGGATTTGTTTCACCACAAAAAACCTAACCATCTGAGCTATGCTCAGTTCACAAGGAACGGCGTCTTTCATAGGCTTAATTACCTTAGTCATGCTCTAAATAGTCAAACTTAGTTCTTTGAATGTCTGATCTGCATCAAAATATTGGTCCGCACAGAATTTATAGTGTTGGTGTGGCTGAAAAGGGATGCTCAGATCAACCATTTTTCACT